ATATCTTATCAGTTTCTGAGAAATAAATGCATATCTATTAGATTCTGAGAATAATGAATCTATTAGATCTTGAGAGAAAATAGGAATACCTATTGTTCTGAGAAATAAATGACATATCTATTGAGTTTCTGAGAAATAAATGCATATCTATCTGCCTCTCAGAAATAAATGAATATCTATTAGTTTCTGAGAAATAAATGCATATCTATCAGATGCTCAGAAATAAATGCATATCTATCAGTTACTGAGAAATAAATGGATATCTATTAGTCTAGATGTACATATCTACCGGAGAGACTGATAGACGAGTATATATCTATCGGATAGATTGATAGACGACTATATATATCTATCGGATAAATTGATATGCATTTATTGGTGTGTATATGCATGTTCTTATATACTGGTATCTATTGGGTAGTACCTCGTAGAGTTTTAGCAAATAGGCCAAAGTCTTTTAAAAGAGAGAGAGAGAGAAAGAAAGAAAGAAAGAAAAACAATTACCGCTGTCCCACATCCTTTTATTGTGCGGAGAGTGAATGGTACACAATAAGTTGTTCAAGGTAGGAAGATGGAAGACAGTTTCAATGGAGACATACTTAAACACACACGCACAAACACAAATGCATATGCTCACAATGCACACGTAGCTTCATATCGATCTTGTTGTGCAACGGAATCGCCAGAGGAAGGGACCTTGTAACATTGGAAAGAACATCGACGTTTCGCATCGTTTTTCGAAATTGTTTAAATATATATATATATATATATATATATATATATATATATATATATATATATATATATATATATATATATATATATATATATTATATATATATATATTTATGTTTTGTTTTCTGTCTGTCCCTGGCCCAACACCTTAGCCCGAGGAAGGCAAGACGTGGTTGACGTAGAAAAAAAAAAAAAAAAAAAACTAGGTCCGGTAAATAAATCCTTCACAGCCAAACAAAAGTGTTACATAGGCTTAACTGGTAGTTAAATTCCTAACACTCCTAACATACATACATATCTATCTATATATGTATATATGTACGCATGTATATATATATATATATATATATATATATATATATATATATATATATATATATATATATATATATATATATATATATATATATATATATACATATACACATATATATACATATGTATGTATATACATATATATATAATATATATATATATGATATATATATATATATATATATATATATATATATATATATATATATATATATATAATATATATTATATATATAGAGAGAGAGAGAGAGAGAGAGAGAGAGAGAGAGAGAGAGAGAGAGAGAGAGAGAAGAGAGAGAGAGAGAGACGCAATAGCGATACAACAGAACATTCATTGATAACCAAAGCATATATACCGTTCCTCACTCAATAACTGACCTCCGACTCGAATCCCCTTTCATTAGCAGGGAACAAGGTTAATAAATCAGATCGGGAGAGGGCTGACTACGTGGCTCTCTGTATCCTCTCTGTGGTAGAAAAATTTCTTCTCATATCTGCCGAGGATCCCTGGATTTTAGGAGGAGAATGTCTTTTATATAGCATATACATTAAAAAGAGTACCTGTAGTCTGTTGACGGTTTCGGGTACATGTGACCCTTCGAAGGACTTGGTCAACGCGCAAAGGGTGCTGCCCAGTAATTCACTCGGCAAAATGAAGAGGTCTTTTGATATGATAAATAATCAAAACTATTTAGAAATAAAGCATGGACAAACCATCAGTAAGATAAGAGAGAAATTGAAATGATAAAACACCCATTCGGATTTGTGCAATCAGAAATAGACTTGCTTTGCAGTCGAGCACCAGGTGAAGACGACATTCCACAGGAATAAGGCTTCGGAAGGGTCGTTGCAGGTCAGAGGGGGAACGTGACGTGGGCAGCAGGCTATCTTGAACCTGGCTCGCCCGTTCGCTTACGTTAAGCCTGTAAAATGTTTGGAAAAGAAGCATACACAGACTTCCATGACTCCCTCTGTTGGTTACCATGGACAATGCAACAGGTTATTCAGTAATTGAAAAGCTGTTGGACTTTGCCATCAATGGGTTTCCTCCAGACTGGCCACTGAATATTATTTCTCAGTGCTGAAATCCATTCCCAAACAACACTAAATCAAGACATCAATTCCCAGTTGATGCTGATATGTAGTCAGGAGACTATAGGCATTCGGACGCACATTAACGAAAGGGCATCTGTAGGCAGAGCTGTCGCGGCAACCGACTCTGAATTACCGGATGCCCTGTGA